TACCTTTGAATTCGTGTGATTTAGAGTTCAGTATTTTCATTCCTTTTTTCTTGTCTATGCCTACATTTAATCAATAAGCAAATTTGAGAGAAGAGGCGTATGGGTCCCTATTCCCTGAGAATATGTGGACAGTGTCTGTCTATTGCCTTTTTTTTGGTTGAATAACTCATCTATTATTTTCTAATTTGTTTTATTTTCCTCCTGTATCCATTATGTTCTGCATCCCTCTTTTTAAGAGGGGGATTTTCTTCCATGTCTCTATTCCTTAGTGTATATTTTTAATTTTTACTTGTTGATTTTAGACAGAGAGAGACATTGATTTTGTTCCGCTTACTCATGCAGTCATTGGGTGCTTCTTGTATGTGCCCTGACTGGGGATTGAACCTGCAACCTTGACATATTGGGCTGATATTCTCACCAGCTGAGTTGCCCGGGCAGGGTCCCATCATGGTTTCTACTTGAACTCTGTAACTGTGCTGACTTGGTTTTCAGTCTGTGTCTGTAGTTCTGCCCTTGCCCTGTCCATCACTCTCTGCTGCCGCTGCTCAGGGATTGCATTTGCTTCTGGGAGCGAACCTCTAGCCATCGTCATCTGCCAGCTTGGTTTTGCTTTGTTACACTGTCAGGCCTTTCTCTTCATCTGGACGGCATACAACAAACTGCATCCAGACCAGCTTGCCCTAGTGAATGGCATCCCCTTCTATCTCAGGCTGCTTCGGTCCGTCCGAGCTTGACATTACGGCTCGTTGCCCTTTTCTCTGAGGATGGGAAGGGGCGAGAGATGCCCCTGCAGCACGGCCTGGGCAGCCCTACCTCGCTTTGTTAGGCGCCCTGGCCTGGCGCCCTCTTCTGAAGTTTTATTGCTAGGTTCACTTCCCTCACTCCCATCGGGGCTTCGGGAAACAAAGCTTTGCTGTTTTCTAGCTTTAAAAAAAAAAAAACATTTCCAATGTTAGATGAGGTTTCCCACCTCGAGGCTTTTTCCTTAACTTTGCTTAGCACCCTTTTTTTCTACCAAATAGGGAACGATAATCAAAATCTTCAAGGTCGTATTGATTAACCTTCCCTAATATCACTTATTTTTTCTTAGCCACCATTTTTCAAAGTTAATGGTAGTAGCTTTTAATTTTGGGTGTTTTTTTTTTTTTTGGTTGCTGATGAATTTTTTTTCTAGTTTTCCTCCTGTTTTCTATTTTGTTCCTTTTAATTAGGTATGGGGGGAGAGAAGTTCGAATGTCAGCTTGGAAATCCTAGACTATTTTTGCTGTCTCTTTTCGTCAGCTTTTAAAGTTAATGGTGCAAAATGTTCTATGAAAATATTGCAGTGTGAACACGCATAGATTTTACCATCAACACTCGGTTTAACCTTCACTCTCAGCTCCGAGGCTGTGGGCTAGTTTTAAGATTTGTCTTTTTTTAATGCTTAGTTTTGTTATCTCTAAAATAGGGCTGATAAAGCTACCTTTTATTCTAATGAAAAACAACACTTGGAGCACAGGTACTCAGTAAGCACTCACTGAATCACAGTTTCACTTTTTTGTTAGGATGAGGAACCCGTCAGAAGGTTCTCACAGCCCAGGCCAGCTGGGAAAACCTGTACTGGAGTCTGGGCAGGAGAAACGCAAAAGCATTCTGGTACCTTTTGAGCCAACGGCACAGCGTTTGGTGCTTAATCGTATGTGCAGAAGTCAAAACAATTGAAAAGGGTCCTGCTTGAATGAAATGTAATGAATTATCTGAAAGAGAAATAGGAGACATAGTCTTGATTGAGGATAAACAAAATATGAAATTCTTATGAACCTTCGATGTTTTTAAGAACAATGTGTCCATTTATTTGTATCATCTTCAGTTTTGTAAGTGTCTTACAGTTTTCATTGTACAAATATTTCACCTCCTTGGTTAAATTTATTCCCAGGTATTTTATTCCATTTTATGCAATCGTAAATGGGATTGGTTTTCTTAATGTTTTCTGAACTGTTTAGAAATACATGATTTTTGTATACTACTTTTGTTTCCTGCAAATTTGCTGATTTTATTTATTCTAAAAAGCTTTCTGAGTCTTTAGAGTTTTATATATGTCATCAGCAAATGCAGTGCCATTTTATTGTTAGACTGTTTCCGCTTTTTTAAAATTATTTGTCTTTTTCTTCTTCTTCTTAAATCAAGCCCTTTCATATTTGTTGCAGTTTGGTTTGGTGTTAACAAACCCCTTTAGCTTTTTCTAGTCTGGGAAGCTCCTTATTTCCCCTTCAATTTTAAATGATGACCTTGTTGGGCAAAGTAGCCTTGAGCGTAGGTGCTTGCTTTTCGTCACCTTGAAGATTTCACACCCACTCCCTACTGGCCTGAATGTTTCTGCTGAGAAACCCAATGACAGGCTAGTTGGTGCTCCCTGGTATGTAACTACCTGCTTTTCTCTCGTGGCCTTTAGGATTCTCTCCTTGAATCCTTGTCATTTTAATTCTGATGCGTCTTGGCAGAGGCCTCTTTGGGTCCGACTTGTTTGGGACTCTCTGAGCTCCCTGGACTTGTGTGACTTCTTCCTTCGTCAGACAGGGAGTTTTCCGCCATTACCAGGTCACCTCCCTTGCTCACTCTCCCCGCCCCTGGTGTTCCCACGATGCAGATGCTGTTACATTTCATGCTGTCCAACATGTTTCTTAAGCTCTCATTTAAAAAAATAATTATTTTTACATTTTTGCTGCTCTGCCTGGGTGTTTTCTCTACCTTGTCGTCCAAAACACTGGTTGTACCTCTGCTTTATCTAACCTATTGTTTATTCCTCCCAGTGTATTATTTATCTCAGATATTGCATTCTTTCTTTTTGACTGGTCCTTTTTTATGGTTTCTATGTCTTTGTTTGGTGCTGTTGAGTATCCTTATAATCATTACTCTAAACTCTCCATCTGATAAATTGCTTGCCTCCATTTCTTCTCTTTTCTGGAGAATTCTCTTGTTCTTTCATTTGGGGTATATTTCTCTGTCTTCTCATTTTGGCTGCTGTTTTGTATTTTCTGCCTTAGATGTTAAACTAATCAAATGTATGGCTTGATGGTATCCCATAAGTCCCTTATGCTGTATTTACCTTTTTCATTCTTTTTTCTTTTTGCTCCTCTGGTTGGATAAATTCCACTTTGACTTTGCCGATCCTTTCTTTCACATGATCTAATCTGCCATTTGAACCCTTCTGTTGGATTTTTCCCTTCAGTGATTATATTCTTCATCTCCGTGACTTCTGTCTAGTACTTATATTTCCAATGTCTTCACTGAAATTCTCACTCTGTCAATGCATTATTCTCCTTGTCTTGGTGAGCTTTATTATTTTGAACTCTTTAGCAGGCAAATGACTGATCTCTATTTCATTAAGGTCCGGTTCTGAAGTTTTATCTTGTACTTTTGTTGGACCATATTCCTTTTTCTTCACTTTCCAAGACCCTCCGAGTTGGTTTCTGTGCAGCAGATAAAACAGCCACTTCTCCCTGTCTTGACCTACGTGGTCTCATGTCTCATGCAGGAGATGAACCTCGTCATTCGGCCCACTGAACTTTTGGTGGTCTCTCCAATCTCCATGGTTGTCCAAGCCACCTTCTTTGTTCTCAGCGGCTCCCAGCAGTTGAGGGCCCTCTGAAGCCTGCTCATGCTCCAAGGGGGAGGAGCTCCGTCAGCACCTAGATGCAGGCTGATTGGAAGCTGGATGCTCAGGCGGCAGCTCTGAAAGTGCACAAACAGATCTCTCCCCCAGACAGCCTGGGAGGTGAGTGTCTCTACCTGCCTCCTCTGCAGAACTGTCCGTTCGCTCAGGTCCTGTGAGACCCACAAACACAAGCCTCACTGGCCTCGAGAGCCTGGTGATCAAGGGGTGCATTCCCTGGGCAGCAGCCACAAAAGCTGGGGGCCCAGACAGACATGGGTGCAGGCTCCTTCCAGGGAGATCCCGGCGACCAGGAGTAAAGATGTGCCTTCAACCAGAGGCCTGGCCCTGAGAGAGGGGGCAGCTTTCATGTGTGTAAATAGGCCTCCTTTGGGGAAAGACTGGGAGATGGGCCTCTTTCTGCTGCCCCTGCACTGGGCCCTGGGGAGACAGCCGTGGCGAGTCCTTGCGAGACCATTCAGAACTGTTCCTCTCTTTGCTCTACTCTCGTGGGTCTCATGGACATAACCCCCTTGGGCTTCCAGAGCTTCGGGGGTCCATCCTTTGGGTGGACGCCCCACCTAGGTGGGGTGCTCGCCGTTGGGTTCACACTCTTCTTTCCTCGGGGAGAAACAGAGTTGTGCTTCCTCCCCATCGCGTCCCACTGCGCCGGGGCGGGGGGTTCACGGGGAACGGCGTCTCGGCCCTCCCGGGTCTAACCTGGGCGTCTTCTCGCTCACTCACTCAGTGCGCGGGAGCTGCCCAGCCGGTGTCCGCACGTCTTCCAGAGGGACCTGCCCCGTGTGTAGCGTCCACGTGGCGTCCGTGGGAGCCGGTGAGTTCGGGAGCCCCTGTGTCGCCGTCTGTTTAGGGTGTTTTAACCTAGTCATCCCAGGGGCCCAAACGGTCTGAAAGCTGAATGGCAGATGTGCGTATGACACAGACCACTTCCGCGTGGGGAACGCGCTCGCGTCCACGCACCCTCACGGTCCCAGGAATCAGGGCATCTTCCACTTCCATTGCCAACAACTAGCTTTATGCTCCAGAAATGACGTCTGCGTTAACCTGCAGGTCAAAGCTCCAGGACGCTGACTGTGTCCGGGCTCTGACACCAGGACTTAACCCCACGGCGCTGTTTCTGGACTCCTCGGGGCCAGCTGGAAGCAGACTGAGACCTGGAATGTTTACAAGAATGGCTTCTAAATTTGAACATTGCTTATATATGAAACTGGTTTATGTCTTCTGCTCGCTCTGTGAAAGTAATCGTAATAAAATACCACTTTTCACAGAGCAAACTTCTACCGGATGTGAAGTGATTAGCTGTGGCGAGTGTCCAGCCTCCAACGTAAGGGCACAATCAGCTGTTGTGAACACTTTAAAGTGTGACATTTATTGAACACGTCTGAACTTTTTTCATGGACATAATTTTTGCACAAAACGTCGATAAAAACAAAAGCACACAATGTAGTTGATAATACAAAGGGATAAAAGTTCAGAAAGCTATGCCTACAACTCCAGTGTCAGGAATTAGAATCTGAGGGCACTGTGAACTATGAGCCAGGTTCCAAAGGAACAGGCACGCCGCTGCGTGACCGGGCTGTCTTCTCAACAGGAAGTGCATGCGGGTGCCCCCACCCCCGGCTCCCCCCACCGTATGTATCCTGGTTGTCGGCATAGAAACCTTGGCTGAATGGCTGAGATACTTCGAAAAAGGTATCACAGCCCTCTGACCCTTTCTGTAGCGACATTTAATTTAAACACTGGGGGGAAGAGGGCTCAGGGCCTGGAAACCTGGTTAACCATGGAACCTAGTAGGTCTGGGGACACGTGGTCGAGAAGTGGATGGGCGGTAAGGAGGGATAACTGTGACTGCGTTTTCATTCTTGCCTCAGTGGTTCGTTTGGGGACCTACATTGTCTAGCTGATCTTGTTTCAAAAAGAAGTGACTTTTCACATGAGGGGAAAGGCGACATGAAGCCTGGTTTGAAGTTTTTTCCAGAAAGGATACTTATACCAAGTTCATGAAACTCGGAGAACCGTTCTATTGATGGTCTAATTTTAAAACTATTTCAAGTACATGTGTTTTCCTACTTCGTGTTCTTAAAAGTGTTTTTCAGCTAACGATTATTTTAAAAACATTACTGACTTAAATCTCACAAAGCGGATGTGCAGAAACTGTGTACATTATACCCATTTCACAGGCAGAATGAAAACAAGTGTTACATGGCTTGCCTGAAGAACTGCAGTAACCCAGTCCCGCACTGGCTCTCCCCCCCAGGCTTTGTTTTGAAAGCACAGCTGTGAGAGCTGTGTTGACATTTCAAGGAGCGGGGTTTCAGTCCATCACTCATAAGCTGTTGAGCAGCAGTTTCAACTGCAGCTCACAGAAAACAGAAAAAGAAAGTGAGCAAACACAGCCACCTCTTCTCCCCGTGTCGCCCCGCCAGCCACGCGCGTCGCTGTCGGCTGAGCATCGCATTCCCTGCGTCTGCTCAACAACGCAAGTGACGCAGCTAAGTCGCTTGCGAGGCTGCTGCACAACCAAACGATCAGACGCTGACGGCGTGCACTGATGGCCCCAGTGTCCCTCCGGCTTCTGTACTCCGCTTTAGCTCTGACTGTCCCATTCTAGGAACGTCTGTTATCTTCAAAGTGGTCAACGTAAGGTTAACATGACCCAGCACTCCACGCCTAGCGTGTACCCGAGAGAATGGAAAACATACATCCACGCCAACACAGGCACATGAATTTGGTCAGAGCAGCAAGAGAGCCGAAAAACTGGGAAGAACCTAAGCGTCCGTCACCTGACGCCCACACGGATAAGCAGGGCCTGGCCCTGCGACGGAGCGTGGCTGGGACGGGAAGAGGAAGGAGGCACTGACGCGTGCCCCAGTCAGTGCGGGTGGGCCTTGGGAACCCTGTGCTGAGAGGAGGGGGCCAGGCACAGTACGGCTCCCTTCCCACGGAATGTCCGAGACTGGCAAACCCACAGAGACCAAGTAGACTGGAGTCTGCCAGGGCTCGGGGCGATGTGGTAAGGAGTGATTGCTGATGGCTATGGAGTTACTGGGGGGATGGCAAGAAGTTCTGGAATTAGAACGTGGTGATTATTGCACAAGTCTGTAAATATACTAAAAAAAATCAATGAACTCTAAAATGTGAATTTTATGGTAGGAGAATTATATCTCAATAATGTTGTTATTTAAAAAAAGTTATCAACACAATTTCCTATTCTCACATGCTGGAAGTCAAATGAGCAAGAAAGGTATATTTTATTCGCCTACAGAGAATCTGAGAATCTTGATACTAAGTATTGCTAATATAGGTAATGGTTTAGAGTAGTTTCATTTCACACTGATCAGGTATAGATTAGCTACTTTATCTGGGAAAAACTGTAAGTATAGGTACTTAAAGTCTGGAAAGACTATAAGCTGGATTTTTAAAAAAATTTTGTTCTAAAAAACTGTTCTCAGTAATAAGAAAATAAAAACTTACGAGGAGCCGACCCACGGATGCCAGCAGGTCCAACGAAGCTGGCAGGTCGGACAAAGGTTTGCGCTCACATGCTCGTAAAATTACAGCGCATGGAAACCCAGAACGAAAACACAGTCTTTTACGTTCTGGCTCACGCTCCTCTCCATGCTGGGCTTCCTCCCCAATGGCACTGCCCTGTAAGCGGACGGGCACGCGCCCTGCAGGGGGCCACCAGTGCTCGTCTAGCGTGAGTCGGAGGCAGTCACAGGTGACAGAAGCCACCCTCTATCCAGAGCAGCTTGCCCACCAGGGACGACACTGCGGAACACAACCTGGCACACACGGACTTCCCCGAAACCTGGAGAGTCCAGTCTGGCCCTCGGTTCTCCGGCCCACCAGCCCTGCGTCTGAGCTTTACAGAGGGTCCGCCTGCCCGCCGCGCACCCCAGGCCGCACGGGTGCCGGGGTGACTAGTTTGCACGGTCGCTGAGAGAGAGAACAAGGACACCGAGTTTCCTGCACTGTGTTCACGGGAAAAGTGGAGGACAGCTGTCAGTTTTCCAGGTCTTTGGCTAGAGTTTCACGGATGAACTGCAAGGTGCGCTGGTACAAGAACGCGTCCTTCTTCTGGGGCTTGCAAATGTTCAGATGGTTGACGTCCACGGGAATCAGCTCCCCGATGCCTAAGTCTGAAGAGAGCCGAAATGTCAGTAACAGCAGCGTCTAAGGAGAGACTCCCCCCGATCAGCATCGGCGGAGGCCGGGGGGCGGCTCTAAGTGCCGACTTGGCTGTGACAGGGGACCCTTAAAGGAACTTCAAGGTTCACATTTGATTAATCATGCCAGAATGGATTCTGAGCAGGGATAATGGTCATTTATGCTTTTCATAAATTCTTCATAGGCCGTCTGGCCTACGTCCCAGCCCAACAGTGAACGGAGCCTGAGCTGGACCATCTCCAGACCCGTGCACACTTGCAGGTTACTCTTAAGTCATTCCACACATCTCGTAACCGCCCCTTTCCCTAGAGTCAGTATCGTAACCTTGACAATGAGCTCCCCGTCCTGATAAAGACTGGGAATGTCTTACAGGGGATCCATTCCATCTACGACTCGGTGCTCAGGATGCTCGGTGAGCCTCCCAGAGCCGCCTAGACGCGAGCCCGGCAGGAGGCAGGCGTCCCGGGGACGCGGAAGGAGGCGCAGACATTTCTGACTAGGCCATGTCACCACAACAGCTCCTCCACAATATTCCCAGTGCCTCTGCTACCTTTGCTTTGTCTCTCATCTTCTGAAGTCTTTTTTTTTTCCTGCTTTTTAGACACCCAGCAGCTGTCCCTTGATCTCTTCAAGCCTTCAACCACCGAAGAGTAACACGACCTACTACTTGGAGGTAACCGTCTTTAGGTTTCACTGGACTCTTCGGTGGGTTTCGTTTCATTTAGATGCTACGTAATGAACTTAGGACCAAACTTGTTACGCATACCAAAGAGCCGTCTGGCAAGTGCCCCGTTTTCACACCGTCCCTGGCTGCTCCTGGAACAGCCCCCAACCCAGGCTCGGTGGGGATCGGACGAGGGTCTAACACGCACGCCGAGCTGTGCCGGGGAGTGCCAGGTCGGGCTTACCCCCCGCGCCCAGGGAAACGGAGGCGGCTGTAAAGAGAGCGCAGATCCGGGCCCTGCTCCCGAAGAGCCTGCGTCCAGTACAGGACGCTACGGTGGCGGGCACCGTCCACCCCCAGCCTCAGGGCCGTGGGGAGACTGTGCCAAGGCCTGGTCCCTTCAGTTGCTCTGTGCCAAGGTCTCTGTGCACGCTCCCGGCCCGGCTGCTAGAGGGCTTTGCACCCTTAAGGCAACACAGCTCACGGATGATGGCTAATACAGAGCTAGCCAATTCACCTTTGCCATCAGATCAAGTAAATGAAGGGAGGAGAGGGGTGATACCAAGGTAATATGTCTGCAGAGAAATTCTAATCTATGGCTGAAAAGAATAACAGAATTAGAATCTACATCTTTCTAAAACTGAGAAATTAAACATGAAAGCAGTTGCTTGTAACCAAACGCTAGGTGCCGCCCACCGCGGCCGGCGGCGGAGGCGTACCTGCCGACTCCGCGGGCACCACCTGCAGCTGGATCATGCTGCCGATGGAGGTGGGCAGCGTTTCCACAAAGTTCAGCACCTGGAAGTTCTTGTCTTTGGCGAACTTCAGGAAGTCATCCTGAAGCGCTTTCAGCGCAGGGGAGTCTGTGAGAGGATCGAGAACAGGACTGTGACACGTTCTGTCTGTCCAGCTCGTAACAAAGTATACTAACCTTCCAGGTGTACAGAGAAAATTAGGTTCTCATTTGGGAAGGTGGCTCATGTAATGTATCCCCTTCAAAGAAGCCCCTAAGATGAGAGTCGAGGGCTCAAACCCACGCAGAGGCCAGCGTCGGGGGGCGGGGCTTCCCACATCACTGGCCGGGCCGGCAGGGAGCCGTCCGCAGGCGGGCTGGCTCGGGTGGGGCTCGGGCCAGCACGCCCACCCACCCTAAAGCGCAGCCTGTCCACAATCACAGGGTGCCCAGCCCTTCCTGTCCCTCGGCCTCAGCTAGCACGGGGCCACCAGGAAGCACCGGACAGACAGGGCAGCCGGAAAGCTACAAGAGACGGACCCGAGGGGCAAATGGAAAACAAACCTGGGCAGTGGAGAGACACAGAAGGACTTTAAAAAATCCACCAATTTGGGTATCTTTAGAATGATTTCAAAGGACAAGAGATTAAAGAACAAGAAAGAGCTTATGGAAAATAAAATTTGACTGCAAAAATTAAGATTCAACAAAAGGTTTCCAACGGAAGACAGGGAAGTAACTCTCCATAAAGGCGAGAAAAAATATGAATAAAATGACTTCTGGCATATTAAGGCTCAAGCCAAGGGCTCCAAATTCTGATTAAAAGGTATGCCAGAAAAAAAGAAAATGCATATAATTAAAACAAATAATGGTTAACATGGCAAAAGTCTTCAAAGCCTATGCATACTTTAACAGTCGATTTTCCAAACTCATGGAAAAAAGCTGTTAATTGGTCATTTGAAATTATACTTACAGCAAAACATTATATAACTTTTCAAATTTTAAATATTTAACATAGTATTGAAACTGTTCTACTTGAACAAATAAATAGTGGCTGAAGACAAAAAGGGAAGGTCTCAAAGAAAACCCGAGGGTAACGTGGCCGGGGCAGCGCTACCCTTGCTGAGCTCCTTGACCTCCAGGGACGGGAAGAGCAGGTAGCGCACGTTCACGGAGTACTCCGCCAGGTGGGAGCCGTGGTGCGGCACGCTGTAGAAGATGATCCCGCGGGTGTTGTTTACAACGGGGCTCGTCTCCGGCTTCTGGGAGGCCTCCAGCAGCATCTTTTTGACGAGAAGCCCTAGTCACAGAGAAGGAAGAAGAACAGCGCATGAGCTTCCCTCCGCTGTTCTTAAAACCCAAAGAGGGCAAACCAGAAACACAGGACAAGAGCTGCTGTCTCTAAGAAGTTTAAGCGATAATTCTCTGTGGTCCTGTGAACGGGGCCTTAGGACGTCAGCACTGGGCGGCTCTCCTGATCCCCTGGATCGGAATCTTCCCCACGGACAGGCGGCCTTCTAGCCCCGCCTTGTGAGGCGGGCGCCTGTCACGGGCTGCACCGTCCCACAGGGGGCGTGCCCAGACCGCGAGTGGGGTGTCTGCCCAGCCGCCAGCCGCCAGTCTCCCCCCGGCCCCCCACCCCCCTGCCCACAGCAGCCCACTGATGACGGCCCCTCCCTTAGGACAGCACTAACATCCCCAAAAACACAGTCCCATAAAGCCCACCCTCTGTGCAAAACAAAGCTTCCGTGGGAAAACGCACCCGGCAGGGCACCTCCGTCTCCCCCCACCAGGCCTGGGGCCAGTGGTGAAGCCAGAGGTCACACAACCAGACGGTGACAGTGCAACTCCGAGGACACCAAAGGACACCAAAGGCGACATCTGCTCTCCTCTCAGCAGGACGCCAGGCCGCAGTGGCAGTCCTGAGCGTTCCACAGACAAACCAGGCAGTGACAGTGGCAGTGGGCTGGGAGAGGGCTGGGAGGAGCAGGTGTCCCTTAGCCAGCAGGCGCTGGGGGCCACGCAGCGGACGGCGGCAGGGCTGGGGGCCGCGGGCACACAGGGGCCTGGGCTGTGCGCACCCGAGCCCCGCTGGGCTCCAGACGGTCGGGGTGCGGGGAAGAAGGGGAGCCCTGGAACCAGCCAGGAGTCGTTACAAGCCGGGCCTGCAAAACCAGGGGCTGCGTCTGATGTTTGCTTGTTACCACCGCATGAAAGCATTAAGTTGTCAAACTCACATCCCTTTTCTGTGGTTTGTTACTAGTTGTCCCTGTCTAGAAACAGAAATAGCATGGAAGGAGAGTAGCAATTCAGAAACTCCTAGCCACAGCCAAAAGGATTCTTCTAGGGGCACAAGGGTCACTCTAAGTAGGACAGGCACAGGGAGTTGGGTCAGCCTCAACGCCTGGCCAGCCCCTCGCAGCGTGCACTTTGCGGGAACGAGACAGACTCACCTCCCATGCTGTGTGACACCCAGATCATCGGCCTGTCCCCGACGCCGGCAGCTCTGAGCTTCCTAAGAAGTTCTTTGCTCCTGAACGCAATGGACTTTCTGGGCAAAACGAAAACAGGCATGACGGGAGGCTGCTGACGTCCCGCCAGGTTTGCTATCCCATTTTTAAAGCAAGAGCTCGTGTTCACGGGCCGATGCGACGTGCTGCATCTGGAGCCAGGAACACCCCCCTCTCTCTGCTCCATTTCTGCAGCCGCTCGCTCCGTTTCCAGCGCAGCCGCACTCGCCCAAGTGGGAGCAGCTCGGCGCCGAGCAAGCCGCTCATTTACTGAACAAGCACCGTCAGAGCATCTGCCACGGGGCTGGCGATTTTTACAGCCCAAAGGCAAATCTCACAGTAACCGCCCGCACCACGTGGCCCGACACCGAGGCCTTGCCTCTGTTGTGATTCACCTACACGAAGGCATCTGGCATTGCTGCTGAGTCATTGCTTGTATCACTATTTATGCTGAAAACATAACATTGGTCTGGTACTTAGAAATACCAGAAGGCTATTACAATCAGAGAATTCAAAGTTAAGGAATTTCCAAAAAGGGAACTACAAAACTATCTGGTCCAGCAGTTTCAAACTATTTACCTGTAGAATCCTTTCTTCCATATAAGGCTCGTCACAGTTCCTCGGGGCGACCCAGGGAAGGAGCCCCGGGGTCCGGTGTGCCGGCCCTCCCACCCTCCCCCCGGCCCCCAGGCCGGGCCCTTCGGAGCCCCCACCGGTCAGACCGGCTCCCTCCGCTTGCAGGCCAAGTTCCCGGGCGAGTTACGTGACTCGTCTGGGACCTCCCGTGGGTCAGAGGTGGAAGTGGCTGCTATTATCGTCCGGGTCCTGGGCCCCGGAGTCCAGTGTCCCTCCTGCACATACAGTTGCACACGTGACATGCACATGACCTGAGGGGCCCGTGTGCCTCAGCATCGTCTCCTTTGCTTCCTTCAGCCGGTATGACCGAACACACAGCCAGACGGGCCACGGTTAGTTACTTCCAGGAGTGAAGGGACTTCGTTAGAGGGTCCCTGGTCCTCACTACTGGAGTAGTTCTAAGTGAGCCGCGCTAGGTGCCCACCATCTGCACTCCGTCTAAGCCTTGTTTCACTCACTCACTTGCAGAAGAAAGAGAAGGAGGCTAGGAAATCCTGTCTGTGACGCCCAGGTCCCCTCCGCCCCGGAGGACCGGCGCGTGGCCCGGGCCCTTGCCCTTCCGGAGCTGCCCCCCGACCCCCCGTTACCTCTCCATCGGGCACCGCGCTCGCCAGTCGCTGAGGCTGGTGTCGTACTCCACGGAGATGATCCGGAGAGCGGGGCAGTCCTCTGCCAACCACGACTGTGAGAAATACAAGGTACCAAGGGGCGCGTGAGCTTCACTGCCCAGTGACTTCCTGCTCATCGAAACTCTGACTAAAGGACGCGTGCAACGTTGGTGACGAAAGAGCACCCTGGAGCAAAGTGTAAAGGTGACCAGAAAAACAACTCCAGCGTCTTGACTCTCCACGTCTCCGGTCACCAGGTGGTGTCAACAGTGACAGCACAAGGCCAACGCAGGTGTCAAGAGAACGTCCCCAGTTGAATCCTCAGTGGCCTAGAGCAAGGCCTGTTTCTGAGTCCAGACCAGACTGGCTTTCTGGAAGCATCCACAGAAAACTCTGATCTCAGAACAGTGCTGCCTGACAGTTAAAGGGTTCGCCCTGAGAACTCAGAGATTCGAGGGCAAGTCCCACCCCTGTTCTCTGTGGCCCTGGGCTCCGTCGCCGTCCCCACGCCTCGGTGTCGTCAGAGAGTGCACACGGTGCCTGGTGCCCCGTGCACCCCTGGGAAGGGGGGCGAGCAGCAGCAGGGCAGGCCCTGGACGCTGTGTCCGCGCATCTAGCGCGTCGGTTCCCACCGAGCGTTAGACAAATTCCACTCGGTGAATGCACCTCAGGGTCAGGGCTCTTCGGGAGAAATAAGGTCCAAGAAACCCAAGTAGAAGTGTTTCTTCAAGGTCTTTCTATTTTTTAAATTATTAAAATCATAGAACTACCCAACGATCATGAATGACATACATTATTATCTTTTAAACGGAGGTAAAGGATGACTGGCCCTCCCCCCGAGTCTGTCTTACTGGAATATTCTGAGTCATGGGTCGCACCCCAAGTTACACAACGCGGGGAGACGAGCCCAGCTGCTCGTGTGACCCCCACAAGTGCTCCCACGGGGGAGGAGAGCAGCAGGGAAACACCCTGGGGGGACAGGATGGCGGGTCCGGAGGCCCCATGGCCCACGAGTGTCAGCCGTGTCCTTACCTTGGGCCAGCACGTCATGTACCTGCTCTCGGCCTCCGAGACCTTGTCCGTGAGAACCTCGTCGCTGTCCTGCTGGCGCCACGTTTTGAATGCTGCTCCCATAAGGCCGTGAACAAAAAGGACATCTGCTTTAATGGGCTGACTACCAGGGAAAGAGTTTTAAAAAGAAGCAGAACACACACATTATTGTTTTGGCAAGAATCTCCATAGCACTCTCTGAGGATGGTGCTTAGCAGGTTTATATGACATAAAGTAAAAATTAAGGCAAGCTTTGGGAGCGGAGGTTTGCCGCGGGACCCTCCAAGGAATTTCGGCAGAGACACGCACGGAGCGCGCTCACTGCTCTGCAAAGACGGAGGCGGGTCCAGCCTGGCGGGCCAACCAGAACCCACTGCCACGGGTGTGCTGACCGGTGAGGTGACCTGTCAGATAACCCTCCGGAGAACTCCATGGGCATGTCCCGGGAATCAGTAAAAGTATCTTTTTAAAAAAAGACTATGCTAGTGTCATTTCAAAGTCAGCATGCACAAAAGAGATTTTTAAAAAATTATCAAGGGTGATGTTTATCAGAAAATAGAGCAAATGACACTTTCAAGTAACAGTCTTCAGATGTGACATTTAAAAAATACGTAGGTAGTATATTGCTTGCATCTAGTTATAGGGCACACACAATTACACAACACACAAATACCGTAGTATTTTATCTACACATTGGAATTAAGTGGGCAATTAATTTTTCATATTAAAAAAGTTTTTGCTATTTTTTGAGGTAATAAAGTGCCTGACAGAAATCCAAGAAATATGTAACTTTTCACTCTGGTCCTTTCTGCAGTTACGGTCTCAGCAGTGACACAGCTGGAAACGGGGACCGGAAGTGACCCCGAGGAGGAGCAGGAGTCACGTTCATCACTACTTACTCCTTCCAGCCCGTGCTTTCCCACCCGGCTTGTGCTCGCCCCAGTCCCTGCAGGTCCGGGCCGAGGCTGGTTCAGGTGCTCGCACGTAAGTCAATACGTCCTGTCTCCTTCCCACCCACACTGACCTCCACCATCCCAACCAGACACGAAATCTACGTGGGAAATGCTGTGAAACAACTGTGCACACGAAGTTTAAGTGCGCCATGTTGTAAAGGGTGAACTCGACCTTCCTGAACGTAGGCCCTGATATAAAATAACCCGATGCCTCAGCTGCTTCCATACTTTGGTGCCAGCCTGCCATTCCTCGGAGGTGATTGTGGATAAACCGTTTCAGTGAATACGGTGTGTGACTCATCTATAAGGAATCTGACTTCTCTGAATCACTTAGAAGTAAGTCAAAACGTTAAGCCTGCCAGGCATGCACCCCCACGGGGATGGGGGCTCTCTCCCCACCTTGTGCGGCACTGGGGGTGGAGCACGTACACGCCGTCCTGGTACTTCTCCCGCACCGTGTCCCGGTCCAGGTTCGCCAGGGTCCGGGCGGCGTGCGAGGCCGCCATGATGTGCGGGGACTTCATGGCCTCCGCCAGGATGGAGACCCAGCCTGGGGGAGAGAGCGCACCTCCTCAGTCCCGCCTCGAGTCCGTCTCAGCGGGCCGAGAGGTCTCGGGCGGCTGGAGGTGATGGCCGAGGGGCGCACCTCAGCGTCTGCCCACGCGGAGAAGCTCCACTGCCCCACCTGCGTTCTTCCCGAGGCCCTGCGGGTCCCCGCCCCAACGCCGTGGGGGTCCCCGCCAGGTCCCACTCCCGGGTCTCCAAGCAGGTAGGAGGGGTTCCAAAGGCATTTTCTTTATTTAGAAAATCTAACAAAAGTTGCAAATACTTGAGATGAGGTCATCAACGGTAAGAAAAATCGTATTTTGCTTTTAGCAAGAATGATGAAACTCAGTGAGTCAATACCAGGTATTTCATCCCGATTGGCAGTCATATTCGCAGCCTTTAACATGTGTGGGGAAGTTATTTTTTAATAATAATGAGCTCACTTAATAGATAAAAATCTTGTAAAACTTGGGATTCAAGGAGGGAACATTTTTTAAGACAGACAGAGCAGTACAATGTCATGTATTTTGTACGGTTTGGGTTTCTGCAACAATGTCTTACTTTATGCACGTGAGTGTGTATGAAAGTGCAGGGGTGCATATACGCACCCCCACAGGGGCCGGGGAAGAGGCACCCAATAGTGTTAGGAGGGACCTGGGACTGGAGAGGGCCTTACAAAAAGGTGGGTTTATTTATTTATTTATTACTTTTAAAAGACTTTATTTTTAGAGAGGGAAGGGAGGGAGAAAGAGAGAGAGAAACATCAATGTGTGGTTGCTGGGAGCCATGGCCTGCAACCCAGGCACATGCCCTGACTGGGAATCGAACCTGCAATGCTTTGGTTTGCAGAAAAAGGTGAGTTTAATGTCATCTGTGTTCTCTGAGGTATAATTATATAAATAACGCACCCACATGCATTATTTATATAATCTGAAATAAAACAGAATGTGGGCCTTGAGATCAGGGAGAGCTGGGCTCACATTTCTGCCTCCTGCCGACCTGCGGTGGGACCCCGGCCAGGTCCCTGGGCTGCTCTGCGCCGGAAGGAGATTCCGAAACAGCCGTCCACGTGGGCCGTGCCTCTGAGCAGGCCCCGAGGGCCCCCGGAGAACAGCTGTGCCCCACCCCCTCCACCCGCTCGTCAGGGCCCACGCGTGTGGCTCGCCGCGGTGACGGAAGGCCAGTGTTTACAGCCCAAAGGAAGCTTCAGACCCAGTAACTCTTCAACATTAATGTTCACATCTGTACTATCAGAAAATCCCTCTTCAGAATCTATTAGAGCGTGCTTTATAATAAGAAGAATGCTTTAAAATTCTACCTGTAGAGACATACAAGTATACTGTTGGTATGTGCAAAAATGTGACCTGATTTTTAACAGGGTCACGAGACTCTGAGAGATGAGAGGAAGCAGGGCACAGGCCATCTCCGTGACACCGTGTTTTCTCAATGCCACCTCTTACACAGCATCAGCTGTCCCTGGGGAAAGCTGTGTCTTCCTTTAATACTCAGTGTTTTTAAATCACGCAACCTCTTAAAACCTGTTAACTGTGAGGACAAAGCAAAGAAAGCGGCGCTCCGCAAGGGAAGCGCCAACCGAGCACGCCCGTCAGTCACTCCCCACTCCGTTTGCAGCAACGTGTAACTGAGCTGAGAAACAAGGCTAAAAGCGACGTGTACATTTCCGCCGTAAGTGTCTGCGGCCCGGCCAGGCACTGCAGTGCCGTGTCGGTGAGAGCGCCGGCCCCACACGCGGGACTGTGGGTTCAGCCCGGGTCCGGGCGCGTGCAGGAATCAACCAGTGATGCGTGAACGCACGCAACAGCAAGTCAGGGTTTCTCTCTCTCCCTCTCACCTCTCGCCGCCCCACTAAAATCAATAAATTAAAAAAAGTTTTAAAGAATCTACAAAAATAGGAACAAATAAAACTTATAGGAAAGGGGGCCGAACATATGGTGAGAGAAGATGAGCTGCCGTTGGGTGGTGGACACACAACACAGTACACAGACCGTGTGTCACAGAAACGTGTACCTGAAGCCAAATGACCCTATTGACCCACGTCACCCCACTGAACTGAATTTTAAAAAGACATGGTAAGTGGCCCTTTATAGAGTTTGCCGATCCCTCTTCTGCTGATCAAAAGGCACTCTTAAATGTGAATTCATAATTTACATAACTGAATTTACATAAATTCCTATGTAAAAATAAGAGCAAGTGGATATGCAGCTGACCCTTGAACAATGAGGGGACTGGGGGCACGGACCCTCGCCTGCCCCGCGCAGCCGAAACCCGTGTGTAACTGTAGACGCCTCAACACTGAAGCTGTCCCTCAGTATCTGCAGGGGACTCGGTGCCAGGACCCTGCAGATGCCGACACCCACAGATGCTCAAGTCCCCTGTGAAAAACGGGGCAGGCCAGTGCATACAGTCAGCGCTCTGCATCCGTGGACCCCCAACGGTGATCTAGAACAGTCCAGGTATTTACTGAAAAACACCTGTGTGTAAGTGAACCTGCGCACTTCAAACCCGTGTTGTTGAAGGGTCAACGACACGTGTGCAGGGGTGTATGTGTATGTGATGTGTGTATGTATATTCGTATGTCTCACCTACCTTTTTCTACTGAAAAGGCACAGAATAAAGACACCCCAGGAGCCGTAAGCACACAGAGTACCCAGATCTGGGTCTCTGATAATCATTTGTATCGAAGATATAAACATTTAGATGGTCATCAGCAAACACTGCTCTCCTGTGACTACCCACACACTGCTTATCTTAGGCGTGGATTATCCGCACATGGAAGGCAATTCCTCGCTAAAACGGCATGCTCTAAGCAAAGCCTTCAGTCTGCTGCAGAATTAATGCATCACGATGGACGGAGGCGGGGACACAGAAGACTGGGTCCCGAACACTGAGCACGTGGAGCTGTTACCTGAGCGAACTATGGTCGGGTGGAGACGCTCATTCAGAGCCATGTTGCCGACGACCCGCAGAATGTTCCTCTGCACGTTGGGGTAGTCCTTGTGCAGGCGGTACAGCCTCTGGAGCAGCTGCAAGCCTCCGTATGCTTCGATTTTGTCACAGTGTGTGGGTATCTGGCACGACAAATCAGTGAACACTCACTCAGTGTTGCATAAACTCACTCACCAGGTGCCACGGCACGCCGATGGGCAGCCGGGTGGCAGAGTCCCCGAGAGACCGACCACCCAGCCTCGCCTCTCAGCTCACCTAACACACAAACCCCGTCTGCGTGCGAAGTGCTGCAGGATCACTGAGAAAAATCCGCCCAGGACGCCTGCGGTGTTTCTTCTTGAAGTTACTCTGTTTGGCGTTGGGTTGGATATAACTCGACAGTGTCATTATTACACAACTGTTTCAATTTCTAGTGACACTCCGGTTGGCTCAGAATGGTCTCTACCCTGGAGGAGCCTGCGCCCTGATAACAGGACCCCCGTCCAAGTGGTGGGTTGCACAGAGATAAGCAACATCTGCCCCACACAAACTCACGGCTACTGGGGCTGGCCTAAACTTAGGAGTCAGAAAATTTTTTAAAAGGGGAAGATCAAGAAAAAACAGAAGAAGGGATATGAATTTTCAGTGGCTAAAAGAGGTAAAAGAAAGCCGAAGGAAATGTGTACGCTAAGGTAAGGTGACAAAATCCACCAAGTCATTAGGTCTGCCAAGGTCACTGGCATGGCCTTGCCTTTTCCAATCACTAGTTTTACTCACTGTCCCATCACTAGTGACACCATGTCACTCACATATGTGCAACAATTCCCATTCTCTACATTTTCATTAAATGTCGTCACATTTTATATGCATTTACAAGTATGCCTTCTAGACATCAAGTGAGGTACGTCGTGACTGGAGAGGCTTCCGGAGCTCCGCGCACTGTAGTTGGTGCTGCAGATGCATCTACTGCTTCAGAAACCGGACGCAGACCGCAAAAACTCGAGCCAGTCGGCCTGCGTTCCCTTCTGCAGTCCAGTACTAACTCTGCTTTGTCCCTGACTCCCAATTCCACAGGCGGGACCGGCCGTGACCAGAAGGAAGCTCCGTGCTTCTGAGCCAACTCCAGTGGTCCCCAAAATTAAGCGGGCGAGTTTGGAATGTCCAGGAGGATGCTTCTCACCACGTGGGAACCTCCCGTGGTGGCCTCACTGGGGGCGTCTGGCACAAATGCCAGCTGCTGGGCCCCACCCCACATCTGGACGTGCCGGTGGCCACAGGTGTGCAGGAAGTGCGCACTTCCTGAGTGGTTAACATGCCTCCTGAGTGGTTTCTATGCACTAATGTCTGAACACCACACAGTCTGTGACTTTTTCCTTTTTTGTGATCTCAATAGAAAAGTTGCCCTAATACCAAGAAATCTGAAAGTCACTGGTATGTGCTATGGTTAAAATGTGGTCATTCAAATATTTTCTGCCGTGACACATCTTGGACAGATGCTTTCATGGAAATTACCTGATAACACTGCTCATAAAAGTGATCTGAGAAAGGGTGAGGACAGCGTAACTCAAAGATAAATGCTCTGCTTTCTTCGCGTGCAATTAAGATCACATCCATTTTTAGAAAAACTTCAGGAGATGAAATCCATGTATTGGTGCTAAATCATTTTTTTTATCCATTGAAACCATCAAATGTGGGGGAAAGCAGAAATTGAAAAACAACCGAAAAGCTTCTTTTGTACTAAATGAGGATGATTTCCCTGGAATGAACATGCATACGCATAACTTTGTGACACAAATAAAACACACTGGAAAGTGCAAGTTACCTCAGAATGTCTTACTAAAGCTTCCAAACAGAACATCTCCACTGTCGCTGAAGGAACTTCTCCAAAGCTCTCGGCGTAAGGAAGTCCGTTTCCTCCAAAACACCACAAGCCACCCTGCAAGTGAGACGAATAAAACTTCTACTTAAGAACAAAATGACGAAGCCCTGGCTGGCGTGGATCAGTGGACTGAGTGCCAACAGGTTGCAGGTTTGATTCCCAGTCAGGGCACATGCCTGGGTTGCGTGCAAGGTCCCCGGTTGGGGGTATGTGAGAGGCAACCGATCAATGTTCTCTTGCACATCGATGTTTCGCTCCCTCTCTTTTTCCCTCCCTTCCCCTCTCTCTAAAAAGTAAATAAAATCTTTTTTTAATAGTTCTTTTTTTTTAAGATTTACTTATTTGTTTTTAGAGAGGGAAAGGAGGGAGAAAGAGAGAGAGAGAGAGAGAAACATCAATGTGCGGTTGCTGGGGGCTGTTGCCTGCAACCCAGGCATGTACCCTGGCTGGGAATCAAACCTGTGATACTTTGGTTCACAGCCCACTCTCAATCCACTGAGCTACACCAGCCAGGGCTAAAATCTTTTTTTAAATGACTAATATTTTTTGTTGGACAAAAAAAATCTCTGCACTAAACACAGTATTATAAAGGACTAATACATAGGACTCTAAATATTATGGGAACTTTAATAATCATGCAAACTGTGGCTTACTAGGGTAGAAAACATGGAATTATCCCTAGAAGAGAATGATCTCTGAGTGTTTCTCAGTTCTTTCCCCTTTGTACCTGAAAGTACGAAGCACTAATACACAATTCTTTATATGTAAGAAAAGCCAGGGTTAATCATAATGGTCCAGGGACAGGTTATGCTGGCCGAGTCTACTTAAAGTCTATTAATCAAGATGATAAAAAAGGGAAAAGCATTATTGAAAAAAATTAAAGGCAATGACGACAGAGGTCATGCAGGTTTTAATCCTTCCCAAACTGAAATTCAAGTCCATATGGAAGAAAAGAAGAAAAAGGAAAATTTTATGAAACAGAACAGTGAGGAATAGTCCTAATAGATATTAAAAACAGGTGAGAATAAAGCTGGGAAAGAACATTTCAACCCTTACCACAGATTAGGGGCTAATGTCACTAATCTGCTCTGCTCTCCTACAAATCAGTGAGAAAAAATACCAACGATGCTGCGGAAAATGAGCAACCGTCATAAAAGAAAGCTCTTAGGAAGAGAGATACAGCGCCTCTGGAAGACGTGAAATGACACCCGGCACCGCTCACAATGAGGGGCATGGACAGCAGAGCTGCACCGAGAAAGGACGTTCATCCGCCATCTCCCCGTCACCCCGAGCACCTCGCCCTGGGCCGGCACACACCGGAGCCGGTTACTCGGTCCCTGTGGCCCCGGCACAGCGCCCTGGAGAGCGGGGGCACCGGGAAGCATTTAGGGGTGAACAGGTGAGCTGACCTTCTGGGCCGCCAGGCTCTGGCTGCTCTCGCTCAGGGCCAACGACGTAAAGTACCGGATGCACTCATCCAGGTCCGTCTGGGGTAAGGACGCCAGCAGGCACCTGAGCTCTTCCTCGATGGAGGAATCCTGAAATAAAAGGAAAAGAAATTCTTCACAATGAAGCTCAACAACTGAGCGCAACAAGAAGTACCAAAAGAATCTAAGCCAAAAAAGCAAAGAAACAAAAAAACGCAGAGATGAATTAGTGCTGTTTAGTCTCAAAAACAGTCCTCAACCCAGATAAACAGGATTGTTTAACTCTGAATTCTGTACTTTCGTGTCTGCTACCTCGATCTGAAAGGCTCGTTGCAAAGTGCAACTCGACATTTTTGCCTCATCAGCTACTTCACATCTTGATTCAAAATGAAAGTTGCTATCTGATTTTCCCTAATAACTTACATCCAATCTATCTGGTTTTCTATTTTTCAAAAACTGACAGCAACTTTTCAGATTTTCTAGTCTAGGAAGGGTACGCCAGAAGCATGCTCAAATGTCTGTATTACCGATTAAAAACTGGCATCTCGGTGCATTAACACGTTAATACTGTGTCCTGGACCTCAGGAGACATTTAGCACGATCTGGAAACACTGTGGTTGTCACGACTTGGGATTGCTACTGGACTCGAATGAAAAGAGGCCAGGGATGCTGTTAAACACCCTACAATGCACAGGACAGCCTCCAACAAAAGTATTATTTGGCCAAAAATGTCAGTAGTGTTGAAGTTGAGAAAAACTCATCTAAAAACCACCTTCCGTCAAGGGACCGATGCATGGATGCTGATGTGCAGTGAAGCTACCCTCTGGGGTCCGAGGCCCCTAGTGCCGAAACAGAAAATGACACGAGAGGAACCGCATTCCTGAGGGGTCAAGGACTCCGTGTGTGAAAACTACAATCTCCACTGACCTCATTTACCTGCTCGTGAAAAGTAGCCAATGAACTGCCTTCTGAGTGTCTGTTCTGCACCCCCGGACTATGTATCAACCCTTTGCTCACTCACTGGGTTACTTTATTCACTCACTTCTTTTAGAGACGGCAAAGGAGGCGGAGGCAGGAAGAAGCGCAGGTCACTCTCTCTGCTGCGTGCCAAGCCGATGAGCGTCCTGGGGTCGCAGGCCTGAGCGACCGTCCGGTACTGGTAATCTGCGGCGGTGAGAGTCTGCCATCAGCGGCCAGCGGCCTTAGAGTGTTCCAGGCGTCACTCGGACAGACTGCGCAAAAGCAGTCTGCTTTTTATATCGCACGTTTGTGTCCCCAAGTACTTTCCAAAACCGCAACGTCAGTAAGCTGCGTGTGCAGCATTTCTGTATCTGATCTCTCAATTCCCCTCACCACACATCTGGTATCTGGGTCCATCAGGGTCTGACATTTTTGAAAAGAGGAACCTCGAATGTGAACATTGATAGGTCAGAACCAATTTAACTTCTCTTTAAAAAGGATTTTAGCATTTGAAAGCTGTCTCGATCGCTACCCCAAAACCCTGGGACTGCATCACGGTCCATGGTCCCTGGTAGCGGGAAGAGGCCTTCGTTCCCTCCTGCCCACAGGCCGAGGTCCCAGGCCCGCCACTCCACTCCTCCCGCATCGCTGCTGCAGAGTGAGTGTCGGTGCTCCCCCAGGCCCGCACGCTGACACCTAGCCCTCAGTGTGCTGGCATTCGGAGGAACGGCCTTTGGGGGTGATTAGGTCATGATGGGATTGGTGCTCTTCTAGAAGAGACCCCAGAGAACTGCCCTGGCCCTTCCGGCAGGTGAGGAAAGAAAGAAAAGGTGGCCGGCTCTGAACCAGGACGCAGGTCCCACCAGACACCAACTCGGCTGGCCCCTGATCTAGGACTTCCGGCCTCCGGGACTGTAAGAAAGACATTTCTGTTGTTTGTAAGCCCCCCAGTCTATGATACTTTGTTATAGTGGCCCAAACGGACTAGGAAATGTATCAGAACAAAATTCCGACCCTGCAGCAGACACTGTGTCTAACAGCGGCAGTCCGCAACCTGGGCAAGCTCTTCAAGACCAAGTGGGGAACTTTTCAAAATGTACACGCAGGGCCCCAGCCCTGACTCTTCTGGTACAGTAAGTCCAAATTGGAGTCCCAGAAGGCAGATGTTTGAAAAAGATTTTTATTCTAAGTTTGCCTGAACATGAAATAAGCTTATATTTACTTTATAAAGTGTAATTACAGCCACCAATCAATCAGCTAGTTAACTTAGGTGGAGGCAGAGATCTTATTGAGACTTAACTTTCTTTGAGGACATTATTATTTTCTGTTTACTCATTTTTATGACACGAAGCTACTCACAGAGTGTACCTTAGTCTTTGTACTAGAATTAGAGCAGATCTGAGCTCTAGGCTCATGTATTTTTACTGCAAAACTTGTGAGTTTTAAACAGAAGTATTTTAAATACCCCTTACAATGACATATACACATAAATTAGGTATACTTTGACTAATTATTAGTGTCAGAGCCAACTGTCAAGTGAAAGCAAATATAATTGTGTGGCAGCCAGCAATTAAAATATGTTTTGTTACCTATGCACCAAAAGAGAAAGTGAACACAGCGTCAGGCCGTAACTATCAGAGTCGAGAGTTTCCGGGATGGAACAGAACTCTGCTCCCGTATGAAGTCACACAGACCACCCAGCCTCAGCCCTGGAGGTGGTTCTCATCCAGCATGTCTGGCTACCAGGCCAGGGGGTTTCACCGGAGTTTCCTTTTTAATTTCTGGAAATACTTTCAGTATATGTTTAAATTGCCCAAATTCTTTTCCTTCCTGGAAACCCCACTCCCGTCTCGTTTCTCTGAGAAACGGAGAGCTGGCTGCCGGGTGCCACGCGTTCAGGGTCATTACCGTGCCAGTGGTGGGCCTCCGACATCTCCTGCACGGCCTGCCGTCGGGCGGCCGGGTCGTCCGACTGACTCCTCCGCAGCAGCAGCCACGAGGCGCACTCGTGGTCCTCCACGTCCACGGTACTGAAAGGGTCTTCGCCAAGAGAAAGAAAAGGACATATGGAAGAACTGAAAAGAATAATATTTAATACCCATATGCCTACCACAGCTAGATTCAATAACTGTTATTCTGCCGTATTCGTTCACTCTATATGCATGTCTGTGTATTTTTTCCTACACTGTGTGAAAGGAAGGTGCAGACGTGTGGGTTTTACCCTTCCACGGTTCACACCGACTCTCCTAAAAATAAGCCTGCATCCTCCCACGTACAATCACAGTGCCTGCCCTGGCCGGCAGGTTCAAGACCCAGTCAGGGCACAGGCCTGAGTTGTGGGCCAGGTCCCCAGTTGGGGACAAGTGAGAGGCAGCCTATAGGTACATCCATGTTCTCTTCCTCTCTTTCTCCCTCCCTTCCTCTCTCTAAAAATAAAATATCTAAAAATAAAATATTTTTAAAGATTTTATTTATTTATTTTTAGAGAGGGAAGGGAGGGAGAAAGAGAGAGAGAGAAACATCAATGTGCAGTTGCTGGGGGTCATGGCCTGCAACTCAGGCATGTGCCCTGACTGGGAATCAAACCTGCGACACTTTGGTTCGCAGCCCGCGCTCAATCCACTGAGCTATGCCAGCCAAGGCTTAAAATATTTTTTAAAAAATCACAATGCCATTGTGACAGCAGAGAACACTAACAGAGATTCTCCAAAATCATCGAAAATCCAGTCTAACTCCACGTTCAACTTCCTCCAGGTGTCCCCAAAATATATTTAGAGTTGGTTTCTAAAACCAGGATTCAAGTCTTTTTAGTCTCTCTTAATTCTAGAAAGGCTTCCCACCGTCTCCCTTTTCACTTTCATGATTTCAGCTTTTTAAGGGGATCTGGTCAGCTCTTTTACAGCTACTCCACACCGCAGGGCTGCTGGCTGTGAAATCTACATTTTTGATGCAATATTCTCATTATGAGACAGCATGGAAGAGATTCCCCAACAGACTTTAAATTCTGAAGAGGGTATACTTAGTCTTAATGTTTATCTACAAATATCTAACAGTACATCCTCAAAGATGGAAGGGAAAAAGTGTCCCAGGAGTCAAGCCTTCAAGTTCAATACAGCCCAAAAGAATCACGTTACTCAGTGTCTCAGCGCTGCGATAAGAAACGTCAGCACGTGAGATGGCAACGTGCCTTGGGTGCACCGCCGGATTTGACTTCCGGAATACTGAGCAGGCCCCCCCGTGACATGTTTGGTACTCACCGGCAAACGGGCCCCGCAGTATCTTGGCGGAGGTCGTCAGTACTTTCCTTACTGCTTTGTGAAGCTCTTTTCTCGCCTGGTAGGTGAGTCCTAGAGCGATCACCAAGTCAAAGGTTACAATGACACTAAATAGGTACTCGTCATGCCAAGCTCCAACACTTCAAAGAGAAATATAAACTAAAATCCATGATGTTTCAAAAAGAAAATATAAAATAGCGTCTTTCTGTTTCCGTCGTCACTGTCAAAGCAGCTGACATCATCATGGAGCACAGTGCTCTAAACCCCAAAACAAGACTGCTCTCCAAGTTAGGGAAGGGCCAAAAAACAAGAACTAACGCACCGACGCTAACAAAAACCCTCATGTACATCACAGTATTAGCTACTTGCAGGAAAATTCCCCTAAAAATAGTCGCTTTCAAACTAAAATCTGGAGCTATCTAGCTGAAATTAAGCTTCACTCTACAGGTGAATTACAAACATAAAAACTGTAATTAATCGAAACAGCACACCATAAAAGCATGCTGAAATACAGGAAGGTGAGGTAACACGACACACATGAACCATGTCGATGGGGAGCAGTGCACCCGCCCCGCCCCACGCAGGGATCACGATGCACCTGCAGGCGAGGTCACTGCGGCTGACGACGCAGGCACCCACAGCTGTGACTCGGGTCGGTGACTCACCCCCACACCCACACCCTGATGAAGAGATACTCCTCTGCACTCGGCTTTCCTGTCCGCCCAGCCGTGGTCTGACTGCTAACCGCGTTTCCATGCGACCCAACTGTGGTGAGGAGGACTGGCCTGACTGGTAAAGCCGGGTTTTCTAGACTTTGTGGCAGAGCTTTCCCCTCTGTAGTCGTTTGTGTTCATATTTATAAATCCATCCCCTCAGTCTGGTGTCCGTAATGAACAAAGCCCCTAAATCAGAAGTATCTCTGAGTTAAGTGACAAAATCAGGTTTTTATGTTCGCCAAACTGAGGGCCAGCCTCTGGGCCGCCGGTCCCCACTGAGGTGTGGGACTGCGAGTTCAGACTAAAACAGCCGGCTGGCTTTCACTTCCCTTGGTCACCGGAGAGCCGCAAACCTGCGTTAGGTGTGGAAGTCAAGAATCTGGTCTTCAGTGAGCCCTTCAAGAACTTGGTTCTCCCAGGGTTTTGGGATTCTCAGAGCTAACGGGGTGAATGTTATTAGTACTGTGTTTTAAATACTCATTTTAAAATTAAATAACTAGCTCCCATTTTTCACAAAGATGAGATAACTTTATCATCAACTTACCATAATTTTCTCTTTTATCTAAAGACACTGTGGGCACATATATATATGACTTCATTTTTTCTCTTTCTACCACTTGAGAATCTAATGTCAAAGACTTCTTCAGGGCCAGAACTTCATATGTAAGAAATAAAGAGCCTCTTAAAAAGAAACAAAAAATTCATCAAAAATAGATGATATAAATGTAACACAAGAGTTCCTCTTTTATTAAGCTTTAAATAGTTAAGTGTTCTTTTTTTATTGAGAAACATAATATATGTACAGTAATGTGCATATACCATGTATTACACATACCTAAAAAAAGTATGTATAAAGGTACACACACATTTCAGTTAACAAATAATAATAGCTACATTACCATATCCAGGCAGAAAAACCACCAACAGAACGTTAACAGTAAGTACCCAGAAGCCCCCACTGTGTCCCTTCCTGACCCTGACCCACTCTCTTGTCTCTACAGCTAATCATCATTATGACTTTTATTATAGTAATACTCCTGCTTTTCTTTATACTGGGTTGGCCCAAAAGTCCGTTCTGTTTTTTTTCCATGCATTGGCTCTAGTAGTGAGCACTTAGTTGTCTTTAACTTCATTCAAAACAATTTTGTAAGACTCTATTGTGACAGCTGTCATGTCAGCGTGCATTTTTAAGAAACGTCAAAATCAGTGAATTTTTGTATACCATTTAAATATTGAAGATATTAAGAAAATAAGAAAATCAGCAGCATTTTTGGCATATTATGCTTTATCATTTCAAGAAAAGTAAAAATGCAGCCGAACACGAAAAGAGATTTGCGCCGTGTGTGGGGAAGGTGCTGTGACGGATCGAACGTGTCGAACGTGTAGGCCAGTTGAAGCTGACAGTGATCAAATCGAGACGTTCATTGAGAACAATCAACATCATACCCCACGGGAGACAGCCGTCATACTCAAAATATCCAAGTCAATGAAGTTATTGGTGAAAATGAAAAGTGTGTTTTTTATTTCATGGAAAAAACTCAACGGACTTTTTGGCCATCCCAGCAGTCTACCGTCTACACACGCACCCGTAACCAACACTCGGTCCGCCTGCGAACTTCACAGGAATGGGGTCGCACTGAGTGTGTCCTTTGGTTCGGCCCTCTGTCTGTGAGGTTCACCCACCCCGTTGCGTGGGTGAAGCTCACGCACTTACACTTTCGTGAGGCTGTGATTCATCCACTGCACGAATACCCCACAACTTCCTTGTCCCCTCTACCACAGACGGGTATTTAGGGGGTTTCTGTCTGAGTCCCTTACAAACAGTACTGTTACCACACGTCACACCCCTTGACACTGCACACGCGTGTTTATGTTCCTCTAGGGCAAGTATCTAGAAGCAGAATTACAGACTTTCTCGCAGCATATATATTGTTCAACTTTACTGGATAATGCCAAACTGTTTTTTCGAAAAGAGGAGTCAATTTGGGCTCCCGTCACCAGCATACAGAGTTGCTCCTCCCCTAAGAGTTATACCTAAAGTCCATTTTAAATGCAACATTCGGTATTGTTTGTCGAGTAACCCCAGATGCAGGGGTTGTTTCCCGGAATCAGACTGACCTGCACACCCCCTCCGCCCAGACGCAAAGCTGCCCTCCGTCTGCATTCAGAGCCTAGTGACGGCAGCCATGCTAACCACCCCTCTCCGCAGCATCCCACCCCCCGCCCCCGAAGCGGCAGCAGGTGCGGCAGAAAGGCCAGACACTGGCCGGCACCGGGGGATAGCCAGAAGGCTCGGGAGAACCCTCTTCTCTTTTGGGGGACCCTCTGGGCAGCCAAGGCCGGCAAATGTGTTCAGCACTTTTATCGTGCCTTCCATGAAAGACAAAATCTCTTTACTAAAAATGGTGTGACTGATTTCCACGCGATTCCTGGCTGTAACTGTGATACAGACAAAGAAACTTCTTTACACAAAAGAGTACTTTTGCCTGGAATAAGTCAAAGGGGAAAATCATCTAAATATGGTTTGCCTGACCTTACAATATCATGGAGAAATGTATATATTTGGATAAAAAGCCAAGTATATCTACTCTGTCATTTTAGCATCTAAGAGTTGACTTCATAGTTACACCAGTGAAAGAGTACCCCCAGCAAAAACACTAGAGCAGTGGCAGACGTGCATTAAACACATCCGGGGTCCGGCAGAGGTAACGCCACCGAGTGTGGTTGGTACAGCACGCGAATGTCTCGCACGAGATGGACAGCAATTGGAACATTTCACCTAAAACGTCACAGGGTGTGCTTGAGCGTGATAATGTTATGCTACAGAAGTACATGCTTATGGTTTTGTAATAGAAGATTTTTATGTAATAAAAAAATAGGGGCGTTATTTGTGCCGGAGCCTGTATCTATATCACGCCCTCCTCCAAAAACAAGCAAAGAAACAGAATGAAAATGCAATTTTCGGAAAGTCACTCCATTCACTGAGCAAGCGCCTGTGAAACAGCTTGTGATGGGCGATGTTGTCCCTGGCATTTTCTCAGCCTCAGTTTCCTCCCATGAGAGCTTCGTGGTGACTCTTGAGATTTCCAGAAATTATTGTGACAATAGTGGATCTTTACCTTCTCCACGCACTTTAGAATCTGAGACAAGGTGTGATTTTAGGCGTGTGGAAGCTACTCAGGGAGTCCCTGCTCTGTCCCTGTCATTCACTGGGACCCAAGATAAACCAAGACCTGGACGGTGAAGTAGCTGTGGCTGCCACCGAAGTGGCAGAACCAGTGACTAACCAGTGACGACTCCGCCCGATTCCGAAATCTGTGCCCTCCTCACTCCCCCATGCCACCTGTGAACCACTTCCCCTGAGATTTCAATTAGCATTATAATGCAGTCAATTTCACTGTTGACACTTACCCTAAAATAAGTGATCCAGTAAACTTTATTATATTTCCTTCAAAAAGAAGAAAAAAAGTCAGTGTAATGAATTTCACTTTAAAAACATGACCGGAAATAGGCATGTTCAGATAAGAAGTTACTGATATTTCTCCATTAAAATAAGCAGTTGCTGTCAACACAAGGCTTGCTATCCCCAGACAGAAACGAATGAACCAGTAAGCACTGGGTACAAACAGAACCTGTGGGTGTTTCACACACATTCTCCCCTCCTTCCACCCCCCACCCCAGCCAGCAGCGGCCCCAGCACCCGCCGCCCTGCTGGGACCGCCAGGCCCGCAGAGCTTCCACTGAACGCCACGTCCAGGGGCCTGACTTCCCTTCTGACTCCGTTTAGTTCACAAACAAGGAAAGGCCCAGGGACGTTTCTCCCCACCGCACCAGATGTCGTCTTTGGTGTTTGGACTCAGGACTTGTTTTGGTGGGGGCAAGACACCCCGCTTTGGCATGATTTATGATTCCTCGGATAACAAAAGAAAATGGACTCAAACATAAACTTGCAAGACATGGCCCACGTGAGATGATCTCAAGAACAGAGTAAAAACACCCAGTGCACAGTAGGTGTTAAAAGTAAACATCTGACAACTGAGAGATGATCTAGGCCAATCTTCTCATTTTACAAATGAACGCTAGTGGTAAATACAGATTTACTAATAAAGACAGACCAGGGCTAGATGCTGAGCTTCCTTGCTCACCACTGAATTCAATGTCATGAACCTAACATACGTGCAGGCACTGTGTTTGGTGGGGGCTTAATACACAGCTGCTGAAGGAGAAGGCGGTAACCCTTAAGTCGACCTCACAAGGATCAGCAGGAATCTGAGAGGGAACACAGGGGAGGGAGAGGACTCCCAAGGAGGAGGAGTGTGCACGGCTCTGGGCCTGCCAATGTGGGGTGGACCGTTAGCCCAGAAAAGACATAAACAAATCTGTTAGAAACTATCGTTTAACCAGCACTCACTGATATCTTTCCAGTACGTGTTGCTTTTTGGAGGAGGACTTGAGGTTCCCATTCTTCTACAACAGATGACACAGTAAGCAGCCAGGGACATGCTGTGCATTTAAGACAATGATAAGAAATGTAGTTTAGCATCTAATTAAAAACATATCTTTTACTCATAAGAACATGTCGCAATCACAGTGGATTGCCCACAGAATTAGGTTTTTTGAGGCTAGGAAAAAATATTTTCATTAAAAAAAGTATTTCTCCCTTGATTTATTTCTAGGTAACTTTAGTTTTGAATACCATTATGAGTATGTGGTTATTAAATTCCTAGTTAGTTATTGCTGGTGTAGAGAAGTTATATTTTTATTCAGAAATCTTCCTGAAGACCATTTTTCTTTTCCTTTTCAGTTTATTGAGTAATCCTCCTCTTTCCCATTGATTTGTGATCATTCCTTTACCTTATAAATTTGTGTACGTATAGATACACATACATACAAACATACATGTTTTTGTTTTGTTTCTGGCTGTCTGTTCTGTTCCACTGATCCGTCTCTTTCTGTACTCCTATCACCGTGATTTAAGTGCTCCAGTTTTATATATTTTGACAGCATTAATCCTCTGTCTCAAACTTTTTTGTAGCTACCTATGTCAGTTTACTCTTGCTGATCACTATTACAAGCATTTTATTGGGAGCGCCGGTTCCTCCCCAGAGCCCCCGAAGTCCTACAGCTCGGGGTTTGAAGGCCATTTCGGACACCACCTAACTAACGAAAGCCGCTCCTCCCATCACTGTATCATCACATCGCCACCTGAAACCTCCTCGGCAACTGATTTCAGCGTCTCTCTCCCCTCACTACAATCAGGTACTTGTTTACCATTGTAACCCCGGTGTCTAGACTAGTGTCCGGCACGTATCCGGTGCACAAAAATCTTTGTGGAACAAATGAATGGAGGTTTGAAATCAGGATGATTCGCCGAAACAGGAAGAAAAGCAGGCTTTGAAGTGAGGGTGAAAGATGAGAAGTAGCTCAGTTCCAGAGGAGACATTCACTGTAGCACAGGGCAGGCGTCAGGCCGGCTCCTGGAGCGCCCGAGTGCACGGAGGGAGGTGCGAGGCGATGGAACTGCCGAGGTGGTCACGCAGAAGAATGCTTGCAAGAAGGAAAGAATCCTTGGGAAGAACCGGGCAGATTAAAAGCGAGAGCCTACGCGCCCAGAAAAAATATGGAAACCAGGGGGAGGGAAAAGATTTGAGGAACAGAAAAAAGGAAACGAGTGGAAAAGCTGGGTTCCTAAATCATATAAACACACGAAGTAAAAAGCAGCGTGAGCTCAACCGAGAAGTACAACTTACCTAAGGAACAGAAAGCAAGAACCTCACCTCCACAGGTAAAAACAGAGAGAGCGAGCTCGGTTAGGATGCAAACCAAAAGAAGGGGGAAGGAGTTAATTTTAGAATCACCGGGGGTCTCCCGGGTAAAATGTCCGTTCCCGGGTTTACTCAGCTATCAGCATTTAATCTATTCAACCTCCAGGAGCAGAGCTAGAAGCTGAGGTTTGGAAGGTTCCCGTTTGAATGGACACTGTTTCGTCCTCCTTGTTCTCGTCCTTCCGTCACTACAGCGCCCGGGTTGATGGCACCCGCGCGCGCTCTCGGGTCTCGGGGAGGCCCCAGGGAGGGGCGGTTAACCGGAATGGGTGGGCTGCCAAGGCTGCCAGAGGCCCTCACACCCCGCGGAAGATCAGGGGGTCAATCGAGACCGCCCGTCCACGCGGGGGCGTCCCGGCCGCTCCCCGACCAAGCCCCGTCGCCATTCGACCATCTCCCCGCCTTGCCCGGTTTCGCTGACGTCGTGGCCCTCCCCCACCAGCCCAGGCTGGGCTTCCTACCTGCCGGCACGTGGACTTGGCCTGCCCGCAGCTGCTCACAGAGAACCAGGTCACCAAGGCGACCACCTTTCTCTGCGGCGCCCCGCCCGCGCCCTCCACCCTGCGGCGGGCAGCACGTGACCCCGCCCCCGCGCTCCCAGCCCCGCCCCTTGGACCCGCCCCCGCCCCGCCTCTCACCCTCAAGGGGTCGCCGACGTGATGACGTAGCGGGAGCTTGCCTACTCTGTTGCGTCGCGGAGGTGCCGCTGGGTCTGTAGGTGGAAGTGGGACGCGTCTGCTCCCGCAGCGAGAGGGTAAAGCAGGGTCTGTAAGAGATGGAGGGGTCCCCAAGAAAGCGAGGAGGGGGCGAGGAGACCCAGAAACCTGTCCTGCAGCTGTTGGGGTACAGGGCGGTATCCCGCACCGTCTCCGGGCCTTTCTGACGAGGCCGGGCGGCTGGTCTGCAGTGGCTGAAACGGGAATTAACTTTGGAGAGGCATTGCGCCGCGCCCGTGTATAGAAGCTTAAGGGTCAGGTTGACGTGCACCGGGTGTGTGTTTTCCCTTTTAGAGTAGATCTCTGGGGAACGCCGTTTATTTGCTAAAAGAACACAGGTTCGGAGACCTGGCTTGTGCCCATTTGGGAGGTGGGCGTGGGAGTAAAGCTACTACTTCGTTTCTTCCAAGGCTTGCCCTCAGTATATAATCTTTAAGGCCCATTTCAGAGCTACCATGCTGTGATTCCTGTCTCCCAGAATCTTATTTTTCATCATACTCCTGGCGGGGAAGAGAGGTCCTTCAACTACTGTTGTAAAAACTGGACCGGACACACCAGGGTGGTTAAGCCACTTGGCTTTTATTGGGATTGGGTAGAATTTGTTTGCAAGGAAGGTTTATATGCAAATACTCCAATAGACGCATGATAATTTTTTTTAAAGTTTGAAATATGTATGTTTTCTTAATGTTAGCGCTATGTTTTTCACAGACTTGAATGGTTGCTAGTATTTCATATTTTGCCCCAAAGTGTATTAAAGTTGATGTTTTTGAATTCTATGTCACCTTATTCCTTTTGTTAGCATTTGTAAGGTCGTCGGCATCGCCTGGTTGAGGAAAAGATGGTCAACGTCTTAAAAGGAGTGCTTATAGAATGGTTAGTAGTTTGGATACTGAATGAGGTTTTTGTTTTGGGGGGGTTTTTTTGGTTAATACAGTACTTACTTGTCTTTCCTTGTCAAACCCCGAGCCCTCCGCTTCGCCAGGCGGCCTAGGGAGGTATAAGAACAGGATCATACATGGGAGGTGGTGACGCCGTGTTCACGTGGTGACGAGGATGAGCAAAGCCACCATCTGGGCCTCCGGGAGGGCAAAGCCCAGGGTGGCCTAGGAGAAGAGCCGTTGCTGCAGAGAGGGTTCCTGGCATAAGCAATGATGAGGCCCCCCAATTCCAGCCCCAGAGCCTGTGACCCCTACTGTGGCGGCCCCAGCCCCGATGAACTTGGCTGCTATGTCAGTGTCTCTTGAAATGGCACTGGCTTGGAAAGCTTGCAGCTAGAAATACGTGAGGTCAGAGGACCGGGGGCTGCCAAGCTGCTGAGCTCTCTTCTGTCGGTGTTTCTGTTCGCTTCAGCACCACTGCATCTAAACATCCATCCGTGGCTAAACATGTTATTGTATATTAGATCAAAAGAGTGTTCTTTGTTGTGATTCAAGGCTTTTATGAAAAAGGTGTACTTTGGTAAATCCAAGAAATTATATCCCTCTTTCCCTTATGCCTGTCCTATTCATTCCAAACTAAAGCCACAGTAAACAGAATTGAGTTTGGATCTCTTCTTTGAGCTCAGTATTCTCAGAGAGATTTTGTTAGGCTTTTCTTTAAAGATTCTGAATAATTGTTCAGACTTAACATGGTTCAGAATTTTAAGGAAGAAGAGAAAAACGTGAGTACCTACCGCAGACCAAATACTTATCCTTGGCGTTTCTTCTCCTATAGTTTCCGCAACGAGTCTGTGGGGGCTCACTTTGAGGCCTTGGGAGCCTCAGTGCTTTTAAAGTCACACGAGTGAGTGAGAAAGCCAGGGTTGAATCTGGACCTGCCTCTGGCTGTACTCCCCATTTTAGCAGAGTGACAGTTCACCTGGTTTCGTACATTAATTTGTCATTGGCCAAGTGGTGAAAAGCTATTGGCTGTTTAAATGTAATGGTGGTGGAGGAGTGAGGAAATGCATTTTTAAAATTGATTAAGGAGACTGTGATTCTAGGCCCTAGTAACTAAAGGTTTTCGGCATTACTTTTTCGCTTGTCAAGGACAAAGCATTCTTTGAAAATCTCATCTCTGGCCTCCTTCTCTTAAACTTGCTCTAACAGTTCTAAGATGAATCTACATCTATAAATCATCAACACTTAAGGCAGAGTGGGAGTGAGAGTTTAGGACTTTTTAAATTAACCTAAATCTTCTGCATGCTCAAAATTCTGATCGCTCAGTTTCCGATATAACTTGAAGTTAAAGTTTCTCCTCACCATGTGTCCCCTGCAGCGACCCGGCCATGAAGCAGTTTCTGCTGTACTTGGATGAGTCGAATGCCCTGGGGAAGAAGTTCATCATTCAAGACATCGACGACACACACGTCTTCGTGATAGCGGAGTTGGTTAATGTCCTCCAGGAGCGAGTAGGTGAATTAATGGACCAAAATGCGTTTTCTCTTACGCAGAAGTGAAAATATTAGATATTGACCACTTCAGAATTCAAAGTAACAGATGCGAGAGAGACTGTCCCCATTTAGTAATTCGTGTGACAAGTCAGACTTAGAGAATTGCTGAGAAGCGTGCCACGGAGAGACTGGGGTATCCTTTGTTCAGAAGAAAGCGCCCAAACTGGTTTTCTTGTTCTGTCTTTGTCAATACGTGTGCCCTCAAATTAAAAAAAGTCTTAATAGTTGGCTATAATTTGACTTTTATTATCCTTTATTGCAATGTAAATGTGAATGGTTTTTCTACCTTTTTAATGCCAATTTAATACATTAAGAATATAATTTTTAGCCCTGGCTGGTGTAGCTCAGTGGATTGAGCATGGGCTGCAAACCAAAGGGTCACCGGTTTGATTCTCAGTCAGGGTGCATGCGCACTGTGCCGACCTCGGACAGCACCGCTGTGCTCGTCATCACCTCAGGGCGGTCACCCGGCACGTGTCCCTGCCTAGCGTCTCTGCGCAGCGCTGTGTGTGTGAGTCGCCTGTGCCGGTGCACGACGTGGTGCGGTTGACCTGGAACAACGGGTTCGTGCTGTGCGAGTCAGCTCGTACGTGCGTTTTTTTGTTTTGTTTTGTTTTGTTTTGTTTTGTTTTTTCAGTAAATGCCGTAAATGTACTTTCCTTGTGATGTTCTTTTCTCTAGCTTATTTTTTTGTAAGAATAGAGTATATAATCCACATAACTTACGACGTGTGTGTTAATCAACTGTGTATGTTATTGGTAAGGCTTCCAGTGGTTAAGTTTTGGGGGAGTCAGAATACATGGATTTTCAAATGCACAGCCGTTGGTGCCTCTCACCACCCCCACTCCTGCTGTTCAAGGGCCAGGTAGTTTTTTCATTCTCGTTGCTCTACAGTAGGTGTTCCGTTGTTTGCCTCAGCCACCCTAGAGATGTTTTGGTTAATAAATAAAGCAGTTCTAAAATTTTAAGAACTATACATTCATTAAACTTCAATTTGAAGTTGATACACATCCATCAAAAAACTTGACCACTGTCACGTTATCACACTAACTTTTCTCCAGTGGCAGAAGGTATACAACTGTATTGCATTTGTTTTGAGAAAAGATATGGAAGTCCAGAATCTAATTGCAAATATACTGGCATTGGTTACACTGATACCCTGTTGTTATTATAATAGCTTCTTCAGTTCATTCAGTCCTTCACTCACTCATTGAAAAAATAATTAAGTACCCACCACGTCCTAGTGTGAAGGATAGATAGTTTTTAAAAAGTGGATGAAGCACCAATATCAAGAATGCTTTTAACTTCAAGTTGATGTGGACCCTGGCCGGTAGGAGCCGTGTGTTGCAGCCGAGAGAGACAAATGCACACGGACTGCAGAAGTCCTGTGGGGAAAAAGGGACGGCATGGCCGCTCTCTGAGTGAGGGAGAGGGCCTCGACCCCTGCCCGGACAGGCTTTTATTGCTTTTCTGGGTACGTTAAGTTGAAGATGGTCCTCATTTGTTACGTGCAGGTTTGCCGTAGGGGATTACCTTTTACAGGTAATAAAGGAAAGAATGTTACTAATTACTTCAAAGAGAAGGATGTTGCAGACCAAGGGGAAAAGTGGTTGAACCGGTTACACTCCATACTGGGGAGGTTTAGCACAGACTTTAGGAAGTTACTTTAGAGATACGCAGTAAACATTTGCTGCCTCAATCCAGGGTGAGGGAGTTTTAGCAAAAGCAAGTCTCATAGCAGCCTAGGTACAATGCAGGCCTGATTCCCCATGGGAGAACCTATCTGTGGGCGTGGCTCCTGTGTGCCCGACCTTGATTTCCCACTGGCTTTTCTGAGTGGGAGCTGGGCTACATTCCCACATCACACAAATGGTTCCCTATATCGAGTAGCAGAACAACAGTGAAGAGGTATTTAAACAATAAAGAAGTATAACTGTTCAATATAACAATTATAATTCCAAACAGAACAAGTTTGGAGACAGTTCCAGGTGGTTGAGCCTGCTTGTCATCCTAATAATGCTGGCTTTTCACTCCCGGCTTACCGCCTCGTGGTCGCCACACCGTGGCTGCCCCTCCAAGGTGGTGCATTCACAGCAGCCGCCCAGACAAGGGACGGGAGGCTCCACTTTCCAGCAGAGAAAATGAGGAAAAACCTCTCCCTGGTGTAACTCTCTTTATAAGGGAGAGAAATCTTTGCCAGAACCTATCCCTAGACTATTCGTTGGCAAAAA